CCCCCCCACCCCCCCCCATTGGTCATCTACCACATTGAAGGACCAATAGGGTGGTTTAGGATATAGAAGTGGGCGGGGTTAATTCGCTGTAGGGAGTGCAGGGGGGACTTACTGTTTTCTGGAACTGGCGACAGCTGAGTCGGCTGATCGCTTCTATTGTAAAGCCGACAGTTGGCTCTACAATTGTAAACAGAGCCCCAGTGTCTTTAGCCCCCCGGGAGTCTGTTTAAACGGACCCAGTGCCACTAAGAGGGGTTAAGAAGCTTCAGCCACACTAACTGAAGGCTTTGGCTGGTCTGAACTAGGAAAAACGATGAGTGAATGGCCAGCTTAAGATATACTTATATACACACACACCTGAATATCCACTTCTTGCACGGCTGAAGCTGAAGTAGGAGTTGTAGCCTTCTATTATGGCGGAGGGTTCATCCAGCAGGTCCCCTAAACAAGCAAACAAGGAACCATTACAACTTTGTAATGTACAAAAAGTCCATCCCCCACTCGTCTCATTCATATGTATGATCCGGTCATATCCCCCTGTACATAGATATTAGAACAAATCCTTAAAGCGGACCTTCCACCCCTCTTTCAACATTCCATAACCTAACTGTTCACCCCACCCCCACCCCCCGTAAACATTACATAAAAATGGTATACCCTTTTTTTTGGGGAGGAGGGGGAATACCACTTAAAGGAGAACTATGGGGTCAGTGCATTTCCCCCATAGTTCTCATTAGGGTAACGGGAGGACACAAACTAGCGTCCTCCCGTCACCCTAGGCTCAGTTTATAGGGAGCTACAGCTCGCGGTATACTGAGACCGCCGCAGCCGGGACAGATCCCAACATTACAGAGTGACAGCTGGCTCTGCCTATCTAGAGCCAGCTGTACCCGCCCCCTCCCCCGTCCGTTCCGCCAGTCAGCGCTGGAGGATCGGAGCAGGGATCCCTGCAGGGAGCCGTGGCAGTCAGGAAGAAGATCGAGAAGTGAGCGAGCGACGGTATGTGTCACATCCCGATCTATTGCGCCGATCTGTGACAGTCTCATTGTCACAGGTAGGCTCGGACTATGAGGCTGAGTGAAAATCACCCCCCTCCCCCCCCCTCTCATAATTCTCCTTTACCTTGATTATATGCATGAACCATTTGTAACACTTGCCTAGGAGAGAAGTCCCTAGTGGCCCCCCGCAGCCTCCTGGGATATTTACATTAGGATACTCTATAATGAACACAGTTTGTGCGGCTCACCAAAGGATCGGCTGTAAAAAAAAAAATCAGGGCTCAGAACTCTGGAAGAGCCATGATTGGGCAGTCATCATGACTTTGCCCAATCATGGCTTACCTGTCAGATGACATAGAACTGTAAACAATTGAGCGGAGCAGCTCCGCCCAATTGTTTATATGTTGCCGGCATCTGTCAATAACCTGAATTCAAGAGGGCATCACATGAGAAAAGGAAAAGCTGTGGAAGTTTCGGGGGGGGGGGGGGG